TCATTTGGTAGAATATCAGAATCAGTGTCTGTAGTAACACCAAGAGGCCCAACATCATTATCTTCATTGACATTACTTTCATTATCTGAGGAAATAAATCAACACTAAAAATAGCCTAGACCAGATAAAAAAAAAATCAGAAAAAAAAAATATCAGTTTATTATTGATTAAATCTTAAGCTGGCAAGCATAGCCAACAGCGATGATGATGGCATAATTAATGTCGAAATATTGAATCTCAAACAACAGGCCTTAGGCCCTAGTCTAGCCTGGTCGTAATTTAAACTTCAGTTATTTTCTGGGCTGGCTGCTAAAAGGCCTAATCGAAAAAATAGGCCTAGGCCTAGGCGTAGCACCATAGCTGCCTAGGCTAGACTTATTAGAAGTTGACCTGATTATACCAGCGTCACCGTAGCACGTAGGCCTATCGCCTAGGGCTAGCCCTAGGCCCTATACCTCTTACGTTTCACCACACTAGGCCTAGTTTAATAATAGGTAGGCCATGATTAACTAGGCTACGCTAAGCCTCCCCTACCTCTTCTAGGCCTAGGCCTAGTCTCTTATTTGCATGTATTTTTTTTTCGCTTGCCAAAATTCTTATTTATATTATTCGAATTCTACAAATGTTCTTACCATTCTTTGGTTTTTTTACGATGCCAAAGGCAAATAAGCCTGTGGGTCGCTTCAGTTTATCTTTATCTTTATTAATATTAAACATTCTTCTTGTTAACGAACGGAACGATGATGGAAAGAAGGGGTCGGGGGGTTGATCAATTTTTACCGCTCTGACCACACGCGTGCATAGACCACACAGACGAAGATGTTTCCGAAATCCTCCGAAAAACTTCTGTGGCCAATCAGCGATTGACTTGATGAAAAAAAAATAAAGCTGTAATCGACTCACAATCACCCAATCAGAACTTGTCTTTCAACAATGGTAGGGAAAGGCCAACAAACAACAACCGAACAGACCGTGAGGTATGAAGCTCGACTGCGGTGTGAAGCACAGTGTCGCCTACCAAAATGCTTTCCGTCAGGTATCGCGCTATATGCTAGGCCCCCTGTAGGCCACTGTCTACTTATATATTGTCGCATCGTTGTTTACAATTTTAGATATCTTTGTTTTCTTATTTTGTTTCTAAAGACAATACCTAGCCTTCTCCTCTGTATGTAAAACGATGAGTAAGTAATTGCAAGGCCTAGGCTATACTTATACAGTAATTTATTGATCGTTTTTTTGAGTTATAGAAATAATTTTTATGCTAGGCCCTAGCCTACAGGCGGATAAAATATTCTGACAGCCTGCAATTTTTACCGGTTACCGGCTATTAACAACAACCCTGTGAATGGATTGCAGACCCCAGAATACAAATAGAAGAATAAGCAACATACAAATGTATTTTATTTTTATTTTATTTTATTCCTTTCAGCCAGTTCAATATTTGACACAAATAAAATAAAAAAGATATTTGCCAAATGTAATGCAATTCATAAGTAAAACTTTGGAATTATCTATTTTGAGAGAGCAGCTTAGCTCAGTTGGCTAATCTGGTGGTAGCCACTGATAGTGCACTAAACCGTGGAGATCTTTTGGTCCCCGGTTTCAATTCCCATCGCTGCCTCTCCTTGTGTATTTCAGCTAGAGGTGAGACGTTTAAGCCATTTTTCCTGTGTGCATTATGGGCAATATGCACGTCAAAGAACGTAGTTAGGTTCTTTGGAAAAGATTAAGGGATTGTCTCCCGGTGTACTGCCCAATCACTACCAGAAGGACCCCACTGGAAATAAGTCTTCTTCAGACTTTTGTGAGTTACCCTTGGTGTTTACTATAAAGTAATTCCATCCATCCATCGCAAGGCAATATGCTAATTAGTGAATCTTTTTGAAACAGGTCCTTGCTACCAGCTCGGATTCAATGCTAGGTGGCCGTGACTTTGATCGTCTCATTGCCGAACACTTTGCATCCGAGTTCAAAACCAAGTACAAGATCGACGTAAAGTCAAAGATACGTCCGTGGCTTCGCGTCCAACAAGAGTCTGAGAAGCTTAAGAAATTGATGAGTGCTAACTCCGTTAAAATTCCAATGAACATCGAATGCCTAATGAACGATATAGACGTGACGGGCAAACTTCAAAGGTAAGGAACTATAGTTTTCATAAGGAAATGAAGGTAGGATTTTCCTCCATCTAGTATCTTTACCACCAGCTTTTTAGTTGTCCTGTAAAAAATTACTTAAAAATAACTTAAAACCATGCAAAAGCTTACCAATATTTTTATAAGTTTTTGGAAATTAATTTATTATCATTATTTTCTGTTTTTAGTATTATTTTATTTTCATAACACCTCAAAATTTGTTTATCTTTGTATTAGGTGATTAAAATTAAAAAATTAATTAATTTAACATGATTAGTTTTATACCATTACGTTACATTCCACCAGATGTAAACATGTATTTTAAAATATATTTTATTGAAATTTCATAACATTCTTTAAATGTTAGTTACAAATTTGGAATGCTTTCATGATTAGATATATAATGATATAATGTATTTTAAAATGTAATTTACATTTTTTTTTAAATTATTTAGGTCAGAATTTGAAGAAATGGCTTCACCCTTATTTGATAGAGTAGAAATAGTTTTAAAGAAACTCCTGGAACAAAGTAGTAAGTATTATATTCACATTTAATACCTATATATATATATATATTTCTATTTATTTATTCATATTTTATTTGTTTGTTATAATTTATTTCACTATATTTCATGATTTTAATCTTGATATAGAAATGATGTGACTGTTTATCCATTCTCTGAGAAGTTCTGGCTCAACTCCTCTTTATCGCTTCAACTACCTTCCCTTAGGTCTAGTGTCTTACTAGAACCTGTTGTCAAGGTCTTTGAAGTATATTGAGGTGGTTGATCTGGGGGCTGATTCCTTCCAAGCTGGACCCTGGATCGGCAGGTCTACTTTAAATAGATGTGTCTAGAGCTTGGTGCCAGTTTGTGTTGGGATCTGTCTAGGCTCAATGGAGAGGAAACACTATCTGATCTATTTTCTATATAGAAATAATTATAAATATGTAAATTGTTTTAAATAGCATATAATTAAATAGTATTACAGTGTTAGTATGTGAGATCTCAAAACAAAATGAGATGCATCATTGGTGAAATGATATATTCACCAAAATAGGTCAGTAAAAAATTTTGAATAACCTTATACTTATATTTTATGATTGTATACTTTTTTTAAGAGAATTTTCTTACTAAAACAGTATTCTGTAATTCTATTCTTGTTATTTGTACAGGTTAGTATATCTTTAAGGCCGATTTTCTCAAAATTTGGTTGTCATACACCTAAATTTTAAATGCCCACATTTCTGCATCTACTTATCCTAGGGAAGCTATTCAAAGACTAAATTTTCATTTTCTGACCATGAGACCCATTTTGTGGTGAGACCTCGCATATATTATTATATTTACTAAATACAGTAGAACCTCGTTTTTACATACCCCAGTTATACGAATCCTCGGTTTTACGTACGCCTCGTATCGACGATGACGTCATCAAAAACCCCAAAAATATTCAAAACAAATGGCCCTTTTTAGAGCAAATCATAAGTAAAAAGACTATAACAATAAACTATAACAATATACAAACCATAATGCAACATATTTTTATTAAACAGCAACACATGGTTTTATTGGTAGGCCTAGAGAGGCTAGGTCTAGCCTAGGTAACATCGTTTGTTCATAACATACGTTTATTAAGCGTTACGTAGGTATTTAGGTCAAAGGTTATCACAAATTTAACCTAACCTCAATTTTACGAATCCTAGATTTACGTACGACCTCTGGTCCCGTACCGTACGTAAAATCGAGGTACTACTCTATATAGTCAAATTACACTTTTACAATAGCCCAGAAATCTGTCGCTTTTATTGTTTCTCAAGCAACCTGTCGTTGTTACAGAATCTAACAGTGTGCAATCTTGCATTGCAATTAAAATAATTTTAACAATGATTTCTTTTACAGAATTGAAGCCAGATGATATTTACTCGGTAGAGATTGTCGGTGGGTCAACTCGTGTACCAGCTGTCAAAGAAATTATTCAGAAAGTGTTCAAGAAAGATTATAGCACCACGCTAAACCAAGACGAGGCAGTTGCCCGTGGTTGTGCTTTGCAGGTATGAATTGAACAAGGAAACCTGGTTAGATCGTTTGGTTTTAACTCCTGGTGGTTTTTGGCAGAAATAAAAAATGATTTTCATTTCCTCTGCCACATATAAACAATAGTGAATTGATGTCACGGTAACAATATCAAGTTCAAGTTCGTTAGTAGGGCGCTTTCGATTTGCATGATGACGCAACGCTAGAATGGAATCACTCATGCATGACTATCAACATATTGACATTGTGAATGCTAGATATGATTGCGAAATGCATGTAAACAACACATTTTTGGTGATCTAACAACTAGAAAGAACACGATAGAAAGTACCATAAAACATACAGATGTTTAAATAAGAGTTAAAATAATATTTTGATAAGTGGAAGAATGCCAGCGATTAAAATAATTTGGTTTTTATCGAAGATAAATTCAGCTAGCCTCTAGCGCGGTAGACCATGCTGCTGCACTGTCGGTTGTGCTAGGCCTGGCCGCCGTCAGCCTATCGGCGCTCAATTGAAAGGGATAACTAGTTTACGAATTTTTTTGAAATTTATGAACACACCTTAGTAGCAAGGAATATGTAAAATGGAAGTTTTATGGTAAAAAGCATCCCATTTTCAGGCAACAGAAATAAAAGGAAATAGTAGTCTTTTAATTAATGCTGAATTATGGAATACTGAATACTTTCCAGAAGAAAAAAAATACTGATGTTTATGTTTTATTGTATTTTTTTATAATTCTTTTCTCTTGCAGTGTGCGATGTTATCACCAACTTTCCGAGTTAGAGAGTTTTCAATCACTGATCTTCTTCCTTATTCCATCAATTTACAATGGCCTACTGATGAAGAGGAGGAACCAGGGTAGGTGTTAAATTTATTAAATTAGATTAAATTTGATTGGTTGTTTAATTAACCAATCAGTAATCATCCTTTAAACCAATTATGTTCACTTATTTAAAGTGCTTCTATGCTTATTATTGGCTACTTTTTTTACTCTTGACAATGAAAAATAATTGTACTTTAGTCTATTTGGTGACTAAAGGTAATTATAACCCCCCCCCCCCCCCCTAAAAGATAGTAAAACCATCTATCTCAAGGCACTGCAAGTCCATGCTAACTATATGCATCCTCATTTCTTTATAACCATTGGAGTGATAAACACTTTTGAAGATAAAAATTGCAGTACAAGATACGTTTACAAAGTTTTTGGACAATTCTGGACGAAATTGCTTTTGTATTTTTTGTATTGTAATGGGTTTTTCTTTTTTTTTTTCATTTTTTAGAACTGCAGAAATTTTCCCCCAAAACCATGCTGTACCATTTTCAAAGATGTTAACGTTTTATCGAAGAGAAGCCTTTGAACTGCAGGCGACCTACTCCAAGACACCTAACCTCATATACTCCGATCTGAACATAGGTAAGAAATTACAAACCAACTTCATCAAAGGGGATTATGTTAGTTTAAATTTATGTGAGCACAGTCGACCATGAGTCTCCGCTTTGGTAACCTATGCCCCTAGCCTTCGGGCAAATGCAATCTTCTCCTTTATTATTTATAAATATAATATAATGTTCATATAAAAAAAAAATAAAAAGAAAAAAAATTGTAAAAGACAATATGAATAATCAGCAATATGGTTTAACCAAGTTAATGATTGTATTTGTAATAGGTACATTTAAGGTTTTGAATGTGAAACCCGGATTTGATGGTGAGAGCTCGAAATTAAAAGTGAAGGTGCGTATCGATGGACATGGAATTTTCACTGTGTCGTCAGCGTCCATGATCGAAAAAATAGCAGCGAGTGAAGACGCAGCTGACGAGGCTGATAAGAAAGATAACGAAACACCCATGGAAACGGATCAAGAAACTGTTGCCAATAGTGATACTCCAGCTGAAGAGGTGAGCTTATAAGCATTATTGCAAGAATAAGCATTATTAATGAAGTTCGTGTTAACTCGTTGACTGCCAGAACTTTTTTTTTAGGTTCTTTCCCATTTGCCAAAAAAACATTACATGTACAGATATACTTTTTAAAAAATTTATCTAGTGATATATCACCAAAATGGTGGGAAAATATTGGAGAACGAGTAAACTCGTCGCCGGCAGTGGAACAGTACTTTTTATTACTTCTGTCAATTGCGACTTTTCTCGTTCACTTTTTGCATTGGTTGGTATATCTTCAGAGGGCTTCCTCACTTGTGCAAAGGAATGTATTGCCGGCAACGTAACACAACAAACGTACATCCGTTATTTGTACATTATTGTCTAAAGGTGCATCTTACCCAAATTATCAGCCGTTAAGTCTGTGGTTCTGCAGTGTATACAATAAAGTAATAAACGCTAGAATGTTACCCCGGTTTCGATAAGTATAGTTGTCCGTAGCGGCTTCAGCAACACCGTATGTGACGAGTATACTCGTCGCTGATAGTGAACGTGTTAAGGACCTACACTCAGGTTATACGATTTCTTAAATTGACCCACCTAATTTTGAAAAAATTTGTGTTATACACCATTCATTCAGCCTTTTTTTTTTGGTGAATCAATGAAAATGTCAGTTTTATAAAAAAAAAAATGTATTTTTAAATAATAATCTCAATATTACCTTTGATTTGAATTGGCAAATTGTTTTATTTAACTTTTTTTTTTACATTAACTGCTGTCCAAACATTTTAGTTTTGCACTACAGCCCTTCAATAAATTAATAATAGTATTTAAATATTTTAGACTCCAGAGACACCAGCAACACCCGCCAGCCAAGAAGATGAGTCGATGAGTGTTGATGACTCCTCCCAGCCGAACGGAGAGCAAGCGCCCTCTGGTGATGCAGCGAAGGATGACAGTAAAAAGGAGGAAGTGAAGAAGGATAAAGAAGTGAAAAAGAAGAAGAAAACCACAAAACAACATGAGCTGCCAATAGAGGCATTAGTCCATGAACCGCCATCGTCCAAGCTCACTGAATTTTGTGAAATGGAGGTGAGTGCCCATATATGGGTCTCTTATACACATCTAGATGTGTATAAGAGACAGGAATTGAAGCCAGATGATATTTAATATTCAGCATGAAGCAGTCAATAAATAAATAACTCCAATCCAATCTAAAATACTTGACAAAAACAATATCAACAGTGAACACTTGACTATTATGAAACAAAATCATTATTTTCATAATACCTATAATAAACTAGAGCAGTCGCTCTATAGTGCATACCTACACCCTGTGCCTAAATGCAGTACCAACAATATGCAGGCCGTGTATAATGGCGGAGGTAATAAGAATGATGTTTTGCCCTACCTGACGTGTTAGAATACTCTGTATGTTTTCCAATACTTACGAAGATACGGCAAAACCATCACTCATATGAAATTTCCTGATACAAAACAACATGGAAACTAAATGGGAAAAACCCATAAAACAGCAAATGGCCACATAATGCAAAACTATTTAAAATTAAAACGGAACAGTAGAGAAAATCCGATCAGAATGACAAAATAAACTAAGCATCCACTGGAAGGAATTCCAATATCTGCAGACGAATCCGTTTCGGCCTTCCAGGCCTCATCAGTGCAGCTAGGGTATAGGCCCAAACGAAACGTTCGACCAGCTTAGGTAGGGCCCAAACTAGTCCCACGACCACTAATGATTACAGAGCCAAACCAAGGCAATATATATACGCAGCCCAAGTGTGAATGCATATATATATATATATATATATATGATAAAATACAGTAATAATGAATCTCATTCAGTTATTGTGGTCTTTATCAAAGCTAAAATATTGTGGTTTGTTTATTTCAGTTCAAGATGCAAGCAAATGATAAACAAGAGCGAGATAAAAGTCATGCCAGGAATAACGTGGAAGAGTATGTATACGAAATGAGGGGCAAAATATGTGAACAATTGGAGAAATTCATTAAGGAGGAGGTAAGTTTATCAACAGCGAATCTTAATAATTTTTTATCAGTAGAAAGCTATTAAACCCTGGGAAAAAACCCATTGAACCCTGGGAAAAATCATTGAACCATGGGAACAATAAACCATTGAACCCTGGGAACAATAAACCGTTAAAACCTGGCAAAAAACGTTGAACCCTGGGAAAACCCATGAGTAATTGGGAAGTTGCTGATTTTCATGAGATCGTCCAGACTTGTGATTACAGTCACAGAAAATTCAGTACAGTGATATTAATTGAACTATATATCATCAAAAGTCTGTTTAATAATCAAAAATTCGGTGCGGCGCTTATTCGAGAGCGGCGCTTGTAAAAAAATATTGGCGTGGTGCTTTCTGTGTCCGTTCCCATGTTACCTATTTCTGTGTGTTTCTTATGTGGATGATGATGATGAATAAAGAACAAATTTAATTGATTTTGCAGGAACGAGAAAAGTTTGCCAAACTTTTAGACGAAACCGAAAACTGGTTGTATGAAGATGGCGAAGATGAGGAAAAGAACATGTACATAAAGAAACTAGATGAACTGAAGGTAATAGTATGTTATCGTATTTTGAACAAGTGTGTAGTATGGTTTTTATTTGCTGATTGGAAGTCATGCGAAGACCTAAGTTGTGGAACTTGTTGCCTTTACTCATACATGAATCTCCTTCAGTCACCGTTTTCACTCGATTGAAGACTCCCCTGTTTGTTTCTTAATTGTATTGTACATCACTGTTTTATTTCCATGACAGAGAGAGCTTTAATTAGGATAGGGGGCGCCTGAACTGAGACACAACAGGTTCTGACCAGGGTTCAATTAGATCAATCCCTGGTTGGCGACGAGGGCGTATCCCCATACTGCGATTTGAGTGCTAGCTTGGCTTGGTACTTTCATTTTTATTCTTTTTTTTTTTGTTTTTATTCTTTCACATTTCCAAACATCTCTACATAGACTTCTTGTATTTGCACTATATAAATTTAAAACCATTAACCATAATTAGTAGTAGAATTTCCACAGTGCATATCTATCCTAAATATAATTTCTTTTCAGAAACATGGAGACCCAGTAGTGATGCGATATAAGGAAAGTCTTGATCGACCCGAGGCGTTTGATGCATTAGGGAAGGCACTTGTCCATTATAACAAAATATTGGAATCGTATAAGAGAGGGGTATGAAATTTTTTTTTTTTATGGCAATTTTAAGTATATAATAGTTACTACTTCTGCTTTCTTGTGTTTCATCTTAAGGGCTTAAATGCAAGAATAAGAAAAGCGAATCGTCTTTTGAATGAGACGTTAGACCTGTGTGCTATATGGCCTGCAGGCATGTTAAAGAATGCTATACACTATTAATGTTCACAACAAATATATTACTTGTTTATGAAAATGGGGCGAAATCATATTATGTTAGAGACCCTATTAGGGGGACACCTTTGGGACCCAAAAAAGTGTCTCCTTAATAGGGTTGTCCCCTGAATAGGGATGGGCTGTTGTGCTAAAAGATATACTTTACCTGTGTGTTTCGTCTCTTTTGCACAGGATGAATTGTATAACCATATTGATAAAGCTGAGATGGAGAAAGTTGAAAAAAAGTTGGCGGAGAAGACAAAATGGCGGGATGAAAGTTGGAATAAACAGAACCAACTGGGGCTTACCGATAATCCAGTCGTAACTGCAGCTCAAATCAACACCGAGCTTGGAGTATGTTTTATTTTTAAGGATGATTTATGTTTTTAAATAATTTTATTTATTTCATGATAATTTATAGTAAATGGGCAGATGCATGGGGTTGTGATAAAATATAATTAATAAAAGTAAATACTTAATATATAATAAAAAGTTATAAATAAATATATTATAAAAATAAAAGTAAATAAATAAGCATTTCATATAAATGATTAAATTAAGACCAAAAATTAAACAACATGTAAATAGCCAATCACATAATTGTTTTCTGTATGTTTATATTTTGAGCGTGTGTAGATTTTTGAGTGAAGGTTAAAATGTATTATGAACAAAGCATCACTTTCAATTATTATTTCAAATATAGTGAAATAATGTTGAATTCAGAGATGCTGATAGCAAACCTTAGTGGTAGTTTGCCGAACTAGTTCTGCCTTATGAGCAAAGTTTGCCATACGCCACCAAACATTGCTTTTCCATATTAAATTTAATTTTTGCTACTAGACATTCTGTGTGATGTACAGTTAAATCATGCCTAAGTCAAACTCATTTTACATGCCAAATTGTTGTGTTTTCTATCTAAGTATCTGTAAGTCAAATTTTGTCAAAGTCGAACTGTTCTTTCAATGCCATTTTGGATTTAACTTAGGCAAGTTCAAATGTTATTGTCATATTAAGCTTCGTACTAAATATCCCAAGCAGTATGGTGTTAAATTGTTTATTCTTCCTGGTCAACATTTATTCAACTAAAGCTGTTTCCACACTATCAAAACTTGTGTGACAAATGAATGTGATATGCCCATATTTTGATGTAGCATATGACATCATCATGCCCATATATGGGCTTGTCACACAAACTTGTCACATAACATTTGATTGTGTGGACACAGTTTGAAGCAAGTCTTGGGTAATTTGATCAAAGAGAATATTACACAACATGTCCACACTGGATTTTATTTTGTTAAAATCACCCTGTGCATGGTTAGTTTGACCAAATATTAATCCATTCCAAAGACAGACTTTCAGAGGTTCTTTTCACACTAATAAATGTGATATGCCAGTATTTGTGTGTAATAGCATCATGCCCAAATATGGGTATTTTACACAAATTTGTCACATAAATTTTGATCGCGGAGAATATTACACAGCGTGTCCACGCTGGATTTTTTATTTCGTAAAAGTCACCAATGCATGGTTAGTTTGACCAAGTATTAATCCATTCCAAAGACTGTTTTTTTTTAAAGGTCTGTCAACATTTATACATGTGATATGACATCATGCCCATATATGGGCACTTCACTCAAATTTGTCGCATAAAATTTGATAGTGTGGGCCTAGGTTAAGGCAATGTATACAGTTTTAAAAAATTAATAGTTTTTTATAACCGCTTTTTTAATACTTTTTTTACAGCTTCTTAAGGCAATCTGCGAACCAATCGTCACAAAATCAAAACCCAAACCGAAGGAAGAGCCTCCTAAGGATAAAGAGAAAGAGACGAAAGAAGGAATGCCGGAAAATACCACGGAAGTAAAGATGGAGGAAGGAACACCAGTTGATCCATCTGCACAGCAGGAAACCCCAGCAACAAACGAAGGTGATTCGCAAATTAAGATGGACCTAGATTGATAAAAATTCTTTGGATGTTGAGCCTGGCGCACGCTGTGTCGGCTTATGGCCGATGATATAGTCCGCGCTCCTCCGTTCATGCTATGCGAAAGGCTACGTGAGCGCTTTCTTGATGCAACACCAGTCCATTGACCGATGGGCAGTCTCGAGCAGATAGTCGCTGAAAGTTACCTGGCACATGGTGCGTGGTTTCGTCGCAGTCTCCTTAAATTGCGTCATATGCCGACGCAGCGTTTGTCAGGCTCTGATAATTCACGAGCGATTTGCGGAAAAAAAAAAGATAAACAATTTTTTGGAGATATTTGTCTATGCGTTAAATGCTTTGTAAGCCTGCTATAAAATTTTCTTGATTTCAAAAAACTTGAATCAAATTGAAGATTACTCTAAGCGTATGTGTTTACATCAGATGTTGGAACACCCGGTACAGTGGTAGAAGATCTATCTATACATTTAATGTTAATTTTATTACTGCTATAGAAATTCTACATTAATTCTGAGTATCTTGAATTAAAATAATGGTGTACAACAGATTTGTATAAGTGAGGCATTGTATTATTATTTGTCTGGTGTTTTACATTTATTTTTAAACCTGCCGAAGAATTCCCTGAAGTGATTTCAATTATTTTAATTCTCTAGTGGTTCCATTAATGTTTGTCTTTGTGATCAATCTTTGTACAGTATCCCTGTAACATATCTTATCTTTTCCCATCCTTAACCATCTCTTCTATAGCATCATCCCCCTCTAATCCTCACCTATACTGTCCCATTTTTTTCTTCTTATACCCTCCCCTATTCTCTCTTCCCTTTACCCTGCCCCTTCCTCCTTCTCTCTCTTTCCTCTCACCACTCCCATACTATCCCACCCTCTCCACCTCAAACGAAATGTGGTGTTTAATGACGGTGTCATGGATGTAAGTACATAATGTCTAATGTCATTGGCCTTCTTATAGCTTCACATAAATAATTATTTTCAGGGAGTTGGATGGGGGTGGGGGGTTGGATTTGGTGCAGTTTCCATAGTGGTGCAAATATGACCAAATCAATCTGTCATTTTTAAAATGTTGCAAATATCTTGCAGTTTTTTGCTTTAATATGTTTTCAAAGTTATAGACCAAAATACTATTATTTAACATTCTGCAGTATATGAGTTATGCACAATGAATGATATTTCGTTTAGTTTATATAATAGGCTGCCTATGGAATGTACCCTTTTGACTGTTTAAAGCAAATATAAATCAAAAGATTTGAATATAAAATTGGAATAATTTACGTTGACGTACAAATTGTATTTTGAAACCGTATATGGAATAACATGCATATAGCTGCCACTATATCGTCTAGTTAAGTAAAACTGTGAAAGTATAGTTGAAAAAATTAAAATTATACTGTACAATAAAAGTGAGAAACATGAACTTGCTTTATGTGTATCAGTTTAGCGTCATTAGATCAGTTTTTTCTCATTAAAACAGCGACGGATCCTGGGGTGGGTAGAAATTGAGTGCTCGCCATACCCACTCCGAGCTCATCCCAACCCCCACCTCCTAGCAGTAGCTAGTAAAAAAATACTAAGCAGGTTTTGAAACATTTAGATGGATTGCTAACGACCATGGTTACATCCAAACCTTCCCCACCCCCTATCAATATTTCAGATCATAGGTTTTTGATTGTCACTTTTGTCACCCGGGCAAAAACTTTCTGGATCCACCACTGATAGATGTCGCTGTACCACAATGTTATAGATATTCAAACACGGGGTTGTTATTGTCTCCACATTCCTACCAAATTTGATACTTGTAGAACTCTGGCGAGACTATTATGGCTGAGCGGGTCAAGGCAGGGGAAACACAAACTACAGCCATAACATCGGCGCTCGTTCAAGCGGCACGCTCCTCTATTATCCTTTTGGTGGAATAAGCCTTTTCAGATAATTACTAAAAACGTAGGCCCATTGTATACAGTAGGCTCGTGCACATGAACCCAGTACAGTACATCATTGTAAGATGAGTAGGGGATACCCAGTTCTTTACAGAAGAAGTAGCTAGTACCAATTGACAGGGTATCTCAGACACAAGAACTTCACAGAAAGAAGGAAGTTTTGTATGGTGTCCACACTTCGAGAAAAGCGTGTAAAATGCTATATAAATCTAACTACATTACAGTACATACATTAAACATAGGAACACAGGTTGGAGTGTTAACACTTTTCATTTATATCTCTAAAAATGGGGTGCGGTGACCAAGTGAGCCACAATCTGTTCGCTGAGGAAGCAGACGAGATGACAGCCAAAGCTACGAGGTAACATATTGTACAATCGACAGCATAATACAAGCCATGCTACTAATAGTAATCATGTTGATCAATATATTACCAATGCCAGTGGTGGCGCCAGGTTTTGCCCGACGGGGGCTGGGGGTCCGAGGTCCCAGACGGAAAAAGTGGGCGTAGTTAGGCGTCGCTCAAAATCTCTAGAAAAGTGAAAATTTCGGGGTTTAAAATGCTTGTTTTTGGAATCTACTAATATGTAGAAAATACATTATATACATCTTTTTTTCTCCCCGACGGATTGTGGTCCCCCCCCCCGGGATTGGGAGAAGCTCTCCCAGACGGGGGCCCTTCCCCTCCCCCGTTGGCGCCACCCTTGACCAATACAAAATTAATATTGTAAAGCTCTGTCCAGAAACAAAAACGGTGGCATTCCCATATATAGTCATGATGTGCGCATATATAGTCATGATGTGCTATATATGGTCATGACGTGATGTCATCATGGGCATATTTAGGTTTGTCGCGTGTACTTGCCAACTACACTTTTATTACCATACTAGTATTATTACTATTAGTATTGTTAAAATAAATATTACTATTAATGTTGTTGTTGTTATTACCTTTATTATCGTCATAATGACTGATTAGTATTATTAAAGTAAATATTATTAATTTATTGTCGTTATTGTTGTTTAATATTATTGTTGAAGTAGAATGTTGTGAGTAAACAGAAGACGAACACATTAATAAATAACGCTTTTTAATTCATAGGCAATAGCATTCAAATCTCTTTTGGTAGTGTGGTGGTCCTGTTTTACTAAAATATACTGTACTTTATTTGAATCATGATATTGAAGAAAAAGGATGCAAAAACTACAGAGATTTTCATTATTAATAACTTGTGGCCGAGTTGACTTGTGGCCGAGTTGGCTTGTGGCCGAGTTGGCTGTAGCCGAACTTTTTGTGGCCGAGTTGATTTGTGGCCGAGTTGACTTGTGGCCGAGTAGACTTGTGGCCGAGTTGACTTGTGGCCGAGTTGACTGTGGCCGAGTTGACTTGTGGCCGAGTTGACCTGCACCCTTTACTCATAGCTCCATAACGTCATTTATGTATTGTCATAGTTTTTCGTTTCATTTGTGTTATTCATTTCAAACCTTCATTTTCTTCATATATTTTTCTTTTCGTTTTTTCATTATCTTTCGTTTATTTTACCCTTTCTTTTGGTGTTATCTTTTGTTTTCTTTACTTCTCATTTTATTATTTATTTATATTTTATCGTTTCTTTTCATTTCCTTTCATCTAATGTTTTATACTTTCTCCTTTTGCATTTATCAGAGCGCATCTTTCTTTTCGTAATTTTTCTGTTATTTTTTTATCTTACTTAGTTTTTTTTTCATTTTATCTCTTATTTTCGTTTATCTTTCTTTACCCTTTCTTTTTTCTTATTGTTATCTTTTATTTTCCTTCTCATTTTATCATTTATTTCTTGTTTATCTTTTCTTTTATTTTTGTCTTTTGTTTTATATTTTCGCCTTTACATCTTATCAGAGCGCATATTTCCTTTATTTTTAACTTTCCGTTTCTTGTTTATCTTTTCTTTTTTATTCTGTTCCGTCTTTTTCTCTTCTTTTCATTTATCTCATAGTGTATTTTCTTTACGTTTCTTTTAATGTTCTTTTTTCCCTTTTCTTCTAATGTTATCGTTTATTGCTTGTTTATCTTTTCATTTCCTTTCGCCTTATGGTTTATATTGTACCCTTTACACATTATTAGATCGCATCTTTACTTTATTTTTATCTTTCCGTTTGTTTTTTTTTGGTTTTTTTTTTGGTTTTTTTTTTTTATTGGTTTTTGTTTTCTTTTTATTCTTTTTCATGTTACCTTTTATTTTCTTTCCATGTCATATCAGTGTGTATCTTTCTTTCTTTTGATTGTTCCTTTTATTTTCCTTATTTTTCATTTTATTTTCTTTGCTTTCACTTTTTTTTCACCACTCCTGGTTATCCTTTAGTTACCATCATCATTATTATAATTTATAATCACCATCGCCATCCTCATCATCATAAAGGAATGCCGCTTTAAGAATTGTTTTTGATACCACTCCAGGTGACGTTTTACATATAAACATTACTCAATGGAGTTGAAATAGGAAGGAGACTTTACAATTTATAACAAAATAATGTGAGTACAATATTAAACATTTTGCATCTTTAATTTAATAATTATATAAGAATTCTGTCGTCGTTACGAATATGGTTATTATTTTGACTAAGTTTGTTAGGCAGCCGCATTGAAGGCTTTGACAATTTAGTCGATAGAAGCATACACTGAAATGGCTGCATTCTATTCAAAAACATACATTCCAAATGAATCGCTAAAACCAGCGTGACCACGGAAAAATAAAAATTCCAAAGATTGAGTCTAAAAATCCAAAGATAGCATTAAAAAATCCCAAGATTTGCAAAATATTAGTATATATATACACATACAAATTCATTTTAAATTCAAATTTTATGGCTTTTTCTGAATTCAATGAATTTTATATTGTACTGTAATTTCTACTGTATAATAAACAGTATTTGGATTTACAAGACCAATAATTTGGTTTTTTTTAACTGAATTGAATTTTATGAAGTCGCGGTGGGGGTGGGGGGAGGTGGGATGAAGATGTCTTACATCAATTTAAAAATCATATAAATAAAAGAAAAAATGCAATTGTGGTTATTATATTTGTATTAAACAGAAAATATTCCAGTAGCATAAAAAACGTCATTCTGCCAATGGGAGACAAGAGGTTTAACTTAAAAATGCACACTATTTAGGAAAAAGATGAGAATGTATCTAAACAACAGTCTGATCCAAAGAATTGAAAAAATATACTCAGCCTGCAGTGGGTCTCTTATATTGAACAAATAAACAGCCCTCATTCACAACTGTCAAAAATCCCAAGAACCCATGGTGTTATTAAATATCCCATGTCAAAAACTGTCCACTCCTGTGGCCTTCATCAGCGAGAATGAGGAAAACATCATGAATCAATATATA